AACTAAACAGCCGGCTCCCACGTAGAAGAATATCCAGCCTGTTGGTTCCTTTGCACTTCTTTCTCACATTGGACTTCCCACTTCCTCAGCTCTCCTACAGGCACTTGAGGGAGGCAGAGTCGTACAGTGGGATAGGGAATCTCCTGGGACTCAGATAAGGCTGGGTTGCAGTTCTAACCTGTCAATTAAGATATGTGTAAATTTTGGTATATTCACCTTGTCTGTGCTTCAATTGTTTTCATATATAAAGTGCTGAGGAAATAGAACTTATGAAACAGAAAACTTGATTCATTGTTGGTTAAAAAGAAACCACATTTCACAAATAATAGTAATGAATAAGATTTAGGAGGGAGTAATTTTGGAAATACAAAGAATGTGCTGATGAGATAATGATAGGGATAAGAGGCAGGGAAATTCTGGGCACAAGCGGGCGGGTCCCCAACCAGGGTCCCACCTTCAAGCCTAAATGCCTAATACTGCGGCTCAAAGTGAGAACATACATCCCTGTTTTCCAGCTTGAATGTTGCCTTTTCCAATATCACCCACAGCCTGCCCCACCCCTACCACGTGCCTATAAAAACCCCAGAACTCAGCCAGCAGAGGGGAGAAGCAGCCAGATGACAGAAACTATAGTTGGACATTGGAGAGAAGCAACTTGACTTCAGTCAGACAGCTTGACAATGTGGCTTCAGAGGTGGGTCTGGTTTAGCTTCAGAGAGGAGTCCAGGGATGGCCGGACTCCAGAGGAAGATTAACTTCCTGCTCTGTCCTTCCTACTGAGAGCCACTCCCATCAGCAATGAAATTCCTCGTGTTTATCATCTTTAGTTTATTCATGTGACCTCATTCCTTCTGTACACTGCGCATGAGCTCAGGTGCCATGAGAGCAGATGCAAAAGGCTGTCACACTAACCCTCCACCAAGCTGTTAACACTGAAGCTATCCAGGGACAGAAAAGCTAAAAGAGCACTGTGACGCTCCTTCTGGGGCTTCAGGGGTGACTGGCAACCCACTAGATTTTGCTGCATGGCACGTATGGAGCTTTGCTCCTGCCAAAGCCCAAAAGTGCTTGCCCTGGCTCCTGCACCTTCTCACCTGTGCTCCCCATCACACAAGGGGTGGAACACAGCAGGATTGATAAAGCGGAGTCTGCCCCTGCCAGCACTGAAGTGGCTGGCTAGTTGTAGCACCCATGCATTCCAGTTCCAGCCTGAAGGGGCCAGGGAAAAATCCTGCCTTAATAAAAATATTTATATTCTGTTTGGGCGCAGTGGCTCATGCCTGTAATCCCAACACGTTGGGAGGCAAAGGCAGGCAGATCATGAAGTCAAGAGATCAAGACCATCCTGACCAATATGGTGAAACCCCATCTCTATTAAAAATACAAAAATTAGCTGGGTGTGGTGGCGTGCGCCTGTAGTCCCAGCTACTCAGGAGGCTGAGGCAAGAGAATCACTTGAAATTGGGAGGCAGAAGTTGCAATGAGCCGAGATCATGCCACCGTACTCCAGCCTGGTGACAGAGTGAGACTCCATTAAACAAGATGAAGAAGAAGAAGGAGGAGGAGGAGGAGGAGGAGAAGAAGAAGAGGAGAAGAAGAAGAAGAAGAAGAGGAGGAAGAAGAAGAGGAAGAAGAAGAAGAAGAAGAGAAGAAGAAGAAGAAGATGATTATTTATATTCTGTGATCACAGGTAGTTTTAGAAAAACTCTCAATCCTTGCTTTTCTTCTTCTGTCATACCACCGTAACAATAATCATCAACACAGAAGAAGACTTTTGTGACAAATATGTGGCTTTTACTCCCCACGACCAAGCTAGTAACTAATTCTACAGCAGACACTAACTAGGTGTCCTCCAAGCCAACTTTAATACTATGTACCTGGAAGTAGTATCAGATCCTGCAGGTTGAGGATCAATCTCCAGGACTGCCCTTTAGACACCAATCACAAGTCCAGGCCTCTGGAATTTCTTTTTTTTATAGACATAGTCTCACTCTGCCACCCAGGCTGGAGTGCAGTGGCATGATCACGGCTCACTGCAACCTCCACCTCCCTGGTTCAACAATTCTCCCACCCCAGCCTCCTGAGTAGCTGGAACTACAGGGGGACGCTGCCACACCCAGCCAATTCTTTGTATTTTAGTAGACATGGGGTTTCACTATGTTGCCCAGGCTGATTTCAAACTCCTGACCTCAGGCAATCTGCCTACCTTGATCCCCCAAAGCGCTAGGATTATAGGTGTGAGTCACCACCCCACAGCCTGGAACTTCTGATTGATGGTCTTCAATTTGAGGTTTCCATGACCCTCTCTTTGGTTTCAATTAATATGCTGTATTCGCCCACGAAAATCGGGGCACACTTAGGTTTATCATTTATTGTCAAGGATATTACAAAGGATATAGATGAAGAGACTCATAGGGTGAGGTATGCGGGTAGGAGGATAGAGCTTCCATGTCCTCCCTGGGCGTGCTGTCCTCCAGAACCTCCACATCTTCACCTATCCGGTACCGTATGTGCCTGTAACAATGGCTGAGTGCTGACACCTTGCCTAAAACTTCTTGTGCTTTTTTTGTATCTCAGCAGAAGTTGGTGGGTATTAATCCTTAAGGTCATATCAATGTCTCCTGCTAGGGTCTGAAATGGCACCTTAATTATTCCTAATTCCTACCCATGTGCAATGGGTTTTGTGCTCTCCCACAGCCACCTGCCTAAGGTATAACAGGACATTCTGGTAGCTCCCAAATCAAAGAGTGAGTTCAGTTTTCCTGATTCATATTGATAATGTTAACATGCGGAATTTGCACTAGGTAAGCAGGGCTGCCAATGGTTATTTCTAGCTTCTCAGTGGCAAAAGCTGCGAAAGCCACAGAAGCCACAGTTTCATATTCATTTCTATGTTACCTATGTCTAGTACAGTGCCTAAAATTGAGGTGTTTAGCAAATGGCTTCATAATCACGTCAAATAAATGAATTCTAAAATGATCCATAGTGCAAAATAAATAAGATCTAGGTACAAGAAAGATCACATAGGAGCAAACACAAATGTAGTTTTCTGTTATTTTTAAGGAAGCTAGTTTTTTGACCTGGGGCGTTTAACAAAGATTCCTCTTTTAACTGCAGTGTTTTGTTCTCAGTTATTAGTGGATCAGTATTTTTTCCCAGAGCACCCACCTACTTTTTATATAACCTTGAACTTCTACTTAATTTTTCGGTGTTAGTTGCTTCTACAAAGGCACTGCAGTTTCTGAAAACAAAGCAATGCAACTTAAGCCCTCCTATTGTGGATGAAACAGGACTTTGGAATGTGGCCATTGTCAGCAGTAGGGAATCGGAAATCACAGGAAAATTCAAGTCTAGACTCATGGTATACTTGGAAAGATGACTTACTATTATTGTTTTTTTTTGTATAAATACTTCCTGCAGTGATAAAAAAGAGACATGAGATAAGAGAGATGGATTGTCCAAATCATTTAGACCAAGTTCAAAATCAGGACAGAAATGTCTCTCTCTCTTTTTTTGTTTTGAGACAGGGTCTCACTGTGTCACCCAGGCTGTAGTACAGTGGCATCATCATGGCTCACTCCTGCCTGGGCCCCTGGGCTCAAGTGATCCTCCTGCCTCAGTGTCCCAAGTATGTAGGACTACCCTTGTGTGCCATCATACCCAGCTAATTTTTTTTTATTTTAATTTTTGTAGAGACGGGGTCCTACTATGTTGTCCAGGTTGGTCTTGAACTCCTGTCCTCAAGTGATCCTCCTGCTTTGGCCTCCCAAAGGGCTGGAATTACAGGTGTGATCCACCATGCCCAGCTTGAAATTCTCTTTTTTTGTTTTTAATTGTTCATCTACATTTTGTTTCCCTTCTATTCTTCACTTTGCTTTTATGAACAACTCAAATTTAGGCTGACTCAAGCCTTATTTTCCTTAGTGTCACCTGAATTCATTTCCTTCATTTCCATACTCTCACAGCTAAATATTCAAATTTTTATTAAATAACTTATAAATCCGTAATTTAATAGAACCCAAAGTGAATCTTTTTGATTACTTTAGATACATGCATTTTATCTTATTCCTGAAAGTCTGGCTTTAAAATTCAATTTGTATGTTAAATTTCTTATTAACATATTTTTTTCTTTGAAAAAAAAACTTGGTAATTTTGGATAACATGTTAGTTATTTTAAAATTTTTTGACAGGTTATTTTGATATCGGTCCCCAATATATTTCTATTGTTTAATGTTGGGTCCCATCATACATTACATTACTTTCTTGGATCCTACTATTAGTTTGAGATTCCTACAGTTAAAAGCTATGATGTGCATGGTGGTTAGGATATGCATTATCTTTTTAATATTCTTTTAATGAATTTGGCAATTTCTTCCATCTGTCTTGCATTCATCAAAAATTACAAAGTATAAAACCCTGACGAGAACTAACAAGTAGCAGAGGGAGAATATAAGAATTGGAGGTTATTACTGGGGCTATTTTACGTAATACTACATGAGAAGGTACTTACAGTAATATGAAACTACTACAGTTGTGTATATGTAGCAAGCAGATGGATTTCTATAATAACAATATCTCTTTTTGTTCTCTCAAAATCAACTTTATTACTATAATTTGCATACAGTAAATATATTTAAGTGTGCAGTAGATTAGTTTTTACAAAACTATGCAGTAGTCCCTCCCCCCTCATTCACAGGACATATGTTCCAAGACCCCCAGGGCATCCCTGAAACTTCAGATATAACCAAACCATATATATATATCTGAAGTTTCAGGGACTTCATATGTATATATATATATATATATATATATATATATATATACACATATATATGATGTCTTTTTTCCCTGGACATGCTTACTATGATAAAGTTTAATTTGTAAATTAGCTACAGTGAGAGGTTAACAATAATAATGAAAAAAAGAACAATTATAATAATATACTATATTACATGGTTTCTTTCTCTCGAAATATCTTATACCTTCTTAACAATTTTCAGGCAGCAGTTGGCATAGATAATGGAAACTGCAGAAGAGAGAACTGTGAATAAAAGGGAACAACTGTACCCTTATAACCACCACTCTAATCAAGGTATAGAACAGCTTCATCACTTCAGTAAGTTTTCTCATGCTCCTTTGCTTTGATCTTCACTCCCTACCCAACCCTAGGCAAGTGCAAACAGGCTTTCTGTTAGTATAAATTATCCTGTGTTTCTGAAATAATATAGTATGTAACCTTTTGTATATAGCTTTTTTATTAAGTATGCTTTAAGATTTTTCCATATTTTTGTAAGTATCAGTAGTGTGTACCTTTTTATTTTTTATTTATGGAGTGATATTCCATTGTAGGGATATACCATAGTTTGTTAATTTATTTACCTGCTGATAATAATTTGGTTTGTTTCTAGTTTTAGGCTAATATTAATAAAGCAGCTACAAATATTAGTACTAAAGTATTTTTATGGGAATAGATTTTCATTTTTCTTAGGGAAATATTTAGAATGAAATTGCTGGGTCATATGATTTGTATATTTCAACATTATTAAGAAACTGGCAAACTTTTCTACAGTGGTTATACTACTGTACATTCTAATTAGCAATGTATCAGAATTTTAGTTCTAACTATTGATATTGTCAGTCTTTAAAAATAAGTGTGTACTCATATGTTCTCACTCATAGGTGGGTGTTGAACAACGAGAACACGTGGACTCAGGGAGAGGAGCATCACACACAGGGGGCAGTTGGGGGGATAGGGGAGAGACAGTGGGGAGTGAGGAGGGAGTGGAGGGTGGAGAGGGATAACATGGGGAGAAATGCCAGATATAGTATGCACCTAAAGTAAAATAAATAAATTTTTTAAAAGTGTGTACTATTATCTCATTCATTATTGTTTTAGTTTACATTTTCCTGGTGACTAATGATGTTGAGTATACATATGTGTGTGTGTATATATATATCTATATATCGATAGATAGATAGATAGATAGATAGATAGATAGATAGATAAATAGATAGATATATTATTGTACTTTAGGTTCTGGGGGGTACATGTGCAGATCATGCAGGATTGTTGCATAGGTACACACATGGCAGTGTGGTTCGCTGCCTCGATTCCACACATTACCTACATCTGGCATTTCTCCTCATGTTATCCCTCCCCAACCTTCCCACCCACCTACTGTGCCTCCCTTGGCCCCCTGCAACAGACCCCAGTGCGTGATGCTCCCCTTCCTGTGTCCGTGTGTTCTCATTGTTCAACACCTGCCTATGAGTGAGAACATGTGGTGTTTGATTTTCTGTTCTTGTGTCAGTTTGCTGAGAATGATGGTTTCCAGATACACCCATGTCCCTACAAAGGACACGAACTCATCGGTTTTTATAGCAGCATAGTATTTCATGGTGTATATATTTTCATAGCTTCTTGACCAGTTGCATATCTTCTTTTGTAAAGTGAATGTTCAAATTCACTTCACATTGGTTAATTATGAGAACCCTTACTAGAGAATTAGAGAACTAGAGAATTCTTTCTAGAGAATGCTAATAATGATTTTGTTGTCAGGGGTGGTTTTAGAAGAACAGAATATTAAGGATGGAATTCTTTTGTTGGCTTTAGGGTTTCTGGAGGTGGCTGTTTAATATGATTAGATTTTATTATTTGCTTATTTACAAAATGAGTGTATGTGTGTGTGTGTGGTTTTTTTTTTTTTTTTTTTTTGTAGATAGTATGTAGTTGGTTGGTCCTGCTTTGTTCTACAGCCTGATAATCTGCTTTTAAAATTAGGGTGTTTAAACCATTTACATTTAATGGGATGATCCAAATAGTTGGAATAAGGTTTTGATCTTGCCATTAACTTTAGATTTGTCCAACATTAGCTCCTTTCCCCCATATTATCCTATTTTCTCTTGGATTCAGTATATTCTAGTACTTTATTTTATAGCAACTATTATTCTATTAGCTACACTTATTTGTTTTAGTAGTTTCTGTAGGGTTACAATATACACCTTTAACTTATCATTATGTAATATTAACTTTTCAAATGATATTTTAGCACTTTATAGTGTAAGAGCAGTATATTTTCATTTCTCATCTCCTGTCTTTTGTGCTATTATCAAATATTTTACTTCTATATAAGTCACAAACATTATTTATAGATTTTTCTTTAAACAGTTATCACTTAATTACATTTTAAAATTAGAAATATATTTTATATTTACTCACATACTTACCACCTTCAGCACTCTTTATTCTTTGTGCAGGTTTAAATTTCTATCTAGTGTAATTTTCTACCAGTCGGAAGAACTTTCTTTAACATTAATTATAGTGCAGGCATGCTGGCAATGAATACTCTAAGCCTTTATTTGTATGAAAATATATTTATTTGCCTTAATTTTCAGAGAGGATTAAAAAAAAAACTAGCTTACAGACTTTTTATTTCTTTTAGTATATGAAAAGTGTTGTTTTATTTTCTTCCAACTTATATTGTTTAAATAAATTCTTATATGTATTCCTTGTATTTAAAGTGCCTTTTTTCTCTGGCTCCTTTAGATTGTCTCTTTATCCAGCTTGAGGTTTGTCGATATTTGAGGGTCTGTTGGTTTATAGGGGGTTTTTAAGTGTTTATTTATTTTATTTTTTATTGCTCTAGTGTTTATTTATTTTTATTTATAATCACTTATGCCTTGGGATTATCATGAGCGTACATTAGAGTTGTATAATACTAACTTTTATTTTGGATTTAGAGGGTACATGTGCAGGTTTGTTACATGGGTTTATTGCATGATACTCAGGTTTGAGGTATAAATGATCCCATCATCCAGATAGTGAGCATAGTACTCAATAGTTAGTTTTGCAGCCCCTGCCCTCCTCCTTACCCTGCACTTCTAGTATTCCCTGTGTCTATTGTTTCTATCTTTATGTGCATGTGTACCCAATGATTAGCTCCCATTTATAAGTGAGAATATGCAGCACTTGGTTTTCTGTTCCTCCATTAAGTCACTTAGGATAATGGCCCCTAGTGGCATTCATGTTGCTGTAAAGGGCATAATTTTGTTATAAGTACCACGTGTTTTCTTTATCCAATCCACCACATAAGTTGATTCCATGTCTTTGCTAATGTGAATGGTGCTCCAATAAGCATATGAGTTGTGATAGTTAATACTGAGTGTCAACTTGATTGGATTGAAGGATGCAATATTGATCCTGGGTGTGTCTTTGAGGGGTTGCCAAGGAGATTAACATTTTAGTCTGTGGGCTGGGGAAGGCAGGCCCATCCTTAATTGGGTGGGCACCATCTAACCAGCTGCCAGAGAATATAAAGCAGGTTAAAAAAAAAAAAAAGTGAAGAAGCGACATTGGCCTAGCCTTCCAGCCTACATCTTTCTCCTGTGCTCGATGCTTCCTGCTCTCAAACATCATATTCCAAGTTCTTCAGTTTTGAGACTCGGACTGGCTCTCTTTCCTTCTCAAGCTTGCAGACAGCCTATTGTAGAATCTTGTGATCATGTAAGCAAATACTTAATAAACTCCCCTTTATATATATATATATATTCTTTTAGTTCTGTCCTTCTAGAGAATCTGACTAATACATGAGTGCATGTGTTTTTTTTGTAGAGTGATTTATTTTCTTTTGGGCATATATCCAATAATGGAATTGCTGAGTCAAATGGTAGTTGTTTTAAGTTCTGTGAGAAATCTTCAAACTGGTTGCCATACCAGCTGAACTGATTTACATTCCCACCAACAGCATATAAGCGTTCCCCCTTTTCTGCAGCCTCACCCGCATCTATTATTTTTTGACTTTTTAACAAAATCATTTCTGACAGCTATGAGATAATAGTTCATTATGGTTTTGATTTGCATTGCTCTGATGAGGAGTAATGTTGGGCATTTTCCAGGTTTGTTGGCTGCTTGTATGTCTTTTTTGAGAAGTGACTTTTTTGTCCTTTGCCCATTTTTAATGAGGTTGTTTGTTTTTTGCACACTGAGTTGTTTAAGTTCCTTATAGATTATGGGTATTAGTTTTGTGTTGGATTCATAGTTTGCAAATATTTTCTCCTGTTCTGTAGCTTGTATGTTTACTCTGTTAATAGTTTTTATTTCTGTGAATAAGCCCTTTAGTTTAGTTAGGTCCCTTTTGTCAATTTTTGTTTCTGTTGCAACTGCTTTGAAGACTTAGTCATAAATTCTTTCCCAAGGCTGATGTCCAGAATTATGTTTCCTAGGTTTTCTTTTAGGATTTATATAGTTTGAGGTCTTACATTTAATTGTTTGATCCATCTTGAATTAATTTTTTTGTATAGTAAAAGGTAGAGGTCTAGTTTTATTCTGCTTATGGCTAACCAGCTATCTCAGCACTATTTATTGAATACAGAGTCCTTTCCTCTTTATTTTTGTCATTGTTGTTGAAGATCAGGTGATTGTAGATGTGTGGTTTATTTCTAGGTTCTCTATTCTCTTCCATGGGTATGTATGTTTTTATATCAGTACCATACTGTTTTGGTTACTGTAGCCTTATTAGCATAGTTTGAAGTCAGTTAATGCGATGTCAGCTTTGTTCTTTTTGCTTAGGATTGTTTTGGCTATTTGGGCTTATTTTTGTTCCATATGAATTTTAACATACTTTTCCAGTTCTGTGAAAAAGGATATTGGTAGTTTGATTGGAAGAGCATTGAATCAATAGGTTGCTTTGGGAAATATGGCCATTTTAATGACGTTGGTTCTTTCAATCCATGAGCATGGAATATTTTTCTGTTTGTGTCATATGTAATTTCTTTCAGCAATGTTTTGTATTTATCTTTTCTCTGCAGTATACAATCTGTTGTCAAGTAAATGCAGTAGTTATTTTATTTCAAATATTATATTTTTATCTCTAGATGTTTCATTTTGTTTTTTATCTTCCCTTTGTCTCTTCATTATCTTCAGGTAAAAAAAATTCTGAACATATTTATGATAGCTTTTCAAAATTTTTTGTGTGCAAATTCCATCAGCTCTGTCCTTCCTAGATCTGTTTCTATTGACTAATTTTCTTTTACTTACAAGTTACATTTTTTCTGCATCTTTTATGTTTAGTAATTTTTTTCTTTTGAGACAAGAGTCTTGCTCTGTCACTCAGATTG